AATGCATATGCATCTTTCCTAAAAAAAAATCTGTTTTTAGTGAAATTTTGCCAGGAATGGGGCTTTAAGTAGCAGGTCCAGTGGTGTAAAAGGTTTGCCCCATTCACTGACGGTTTTTACCGGGCTGACCAAGCAGTCGTACCGGACTGGGTAATAAGAGAAAAGAAAGAGGGGAGAGGGAGGGAAAAAGAAAAAAGGAAAAAAGAAAAGGAAAGGGAAAAATAAAAAGAGAAGAGAAAAATAACGACAAGAATAAAAAGGAAGATATCATAATAACCAGACTCACAACAGCCTGCAACCCCTTCTCCACTTCAAAAAGTGTCCATAGCTCCTTTGATCTAAGCCGCCAGATATTCTCCGCAGTGGCGTAACCACCGGGGGACAATGGGAAATATCCATCTGTGGAAAATCTTTCCCCACCCCTTAAAGATGCCCTTTTCACCCCCTGTAAGTGCCTAAAAATCTCAAAGTGCTTGTCCTTCTTGGCTTTCTAAGTTAATTGAAAAATTAATAATCACATTAATCTCTGCATTATTTTTGTTTCTAAATGTATGTATAACATACTTTATGTCAATGCTTTTAAATATATATCTGTTAATAGTAGGCACTTGGATCATCTTAAGTTATACAACAATTTTATTGCACGAACTGACTGTTTTCATAATTCTGTCTTTAATATTATTTTCAGACTTTTCGGGAACCTGCCAGTGGATCTTGGTGACCAATTACTTACCAATTTTACTCTTTTAAAAACGGCATCAAGAAACATTTTATTGATCAATCCTGAAGTTTATTTATTTGTTGTTTTTATCTTTTAATATTTTCAATTCTATATAAAAAACAATTTTAATTATTAAAAATCTCTTATTAAAAAAACGGCAATAAGAATTTTGAAATCAATTTTAAATATTTCAAAACAATTTTTATATATTTTAAATTGCTTTTGAATCTTCTTTTTGCCATCTATGTGATTTCTAACTGTAAATGTTAATTGAATTTTATAAATTTGAATATGCTATTTTTTTTTTTTTTTTTGTTCTAGTTTTTCAGTGTGGAGAGCCACTTTCACTGTTATTTTTCTTATAAAAGTTTTGGCAATCCTGCCTTGCTGATTTACTACCTGTGTTTTTGTATTGCTTTTATATGTTATAAGGCAAAATACACATAATAGTCCCAACTCAAATAGAAAGAACATTTGAGATAGATCGTGGGTATGATAAATTACTAACCAGGAAAATTATTACCTTTGTCGCCCCTCCCCCCGACCCATGACCCCTGTTACGTGTCTGAATGGGTCTCAAGTTAAATATAAACTCAACACAACCTGATGTTATGAATATACATACTGTATTGGAATTCCACAAGGCTCAATAATGGGTCCACTATTATTTATTATTCACGTGTTATAAATGTGTTATGTATGCAGATGACACTACTATTCTTTGCGACTCTTCTGACCCCTTCTTGCTACAATAAGATCTTGATTCTAACCTATATAAAGTTGCAATCTGGTTCACTGAAAATAAACTCGCTTTAAATATTAAAAAGACAAAATTAATGGTATTTGGAACTAGCCAGATTCTTTCTAAATTTAAAAACATTTCTATTTCCTACAATGGTGATACAATTGAAAGAGTTAATACTTTTAAATACCTTGGCGTCACCTTGATCGACAGTTAAAGCCTGGTTTCCTGTCGACGTAAGAAGGCAGATTTACTTACGACTACGTCGTTTTATCGTAAGAAAATGCGATTTGACAGGAAACCGATTGCGACTGGTGCGTTGTGAAATCGACGTAACGTAAGGTTAAATCGTCGAAAAGCAATGTTGGACAGGAAACCGTCGTATTGAATTTTCATGCGATACGTCGATTTTCCACGATTTGACAGGAAACCGTGATTCAGTGACTTATGCTTGAGTGATCATGCTTGCGTTGCCTTGTGTTACGTCTCTTACGAAAGTTGACTCCAAGTCAACTTTCGTAAGAGACGTAGCATTATGGACCAGAAATCGTAAGAAGCAGCCAATCAGATACGACAATATGACGTAGCC